ATGATGTGTCATAGCACAAAGATCTGGTCTTCGCGAGAGTGCATCTGCTGCGCGATTTGAGAGGCCGGGTAGATGTTTCGGTGTGAAGTCAAACTTGTCGATGAAGTACATCCATCGTCCGATCGTGCTGCTCACCGTATCCTGCGTCTTGTAGTAGGTCAATGGATTGTTGTCCGTAACCCATGTGAACCTACGACGCCCAAGGAGGAAGTGTCGCCATCGCTTGAGAGCCATGACGAACGCGAGTAACTCCTTCTTTCTTGCATCATCCAGCGAGTTGATGGGAGGCACTTTGTGGCTGAAATACTCCACAGGGTGCCAGTCGTCGCCGTCGTGCTGTTCCAAGACTGCCCCAATGCCATAGCCGGAAGCGTCCGTAGTCACTCTCGTCGGCAAGGTGGGGTCATAGATGCTGAGGACGGGTGCCATGAGCATGGGCGTCTTAAGTGCTTGGAATGACCGGCGTGCGTCGTCATCGAATACGAATGGCACCTTTGGCGACTGTAACCTTGTCATAGGTGCAGCAATCCTAGAGTATCCGGTGATGAATCGCTGATAGTAGCCTGCCAATCCCATGAATGAACAAACGTCCGTGGTGTTGGTGGGCTCGGGCCATACTCGTAGGGCCTCGATCTTGTCCGCAAGCGGACGGATGCCTTGCGGCGTCACATAATGGCCCAAGTACTCCAGCTCCTGCCGCGCGAATTCACACTTGTCGCGGTTGGCTTTGTACTTGGCCTGTCGTAGCCGCTCCAAAACGGTGCGCAGGTGTTTCACATGCTCCTCCAAACTCCGGCTGTATATCAGGATGTCGTCGAGATAGATAAGTACGTATCGATCCAGCATGTATCGGAACTCCGTTGTCGTAGCAGCTTGGAAAGTGGTCGGGGCATTCGTAAGGCCAAATGGCATAACCAACCATTCGAAATGCCCATATCGTGTCTTGAATGCGGTCTTGTAACGGTCCTCCTTGCGAATCTCGAGTTGGTGGTACCCTGACTTGAGATCCAGCTTCGAGAAGAACTGGGCGCCGCCCAATCGCTCGAGAAGGTCATCGATGCGTGGGAGAGGGCTGGCGTTCCTGATCGTCTGCGCGTTGAGCTTGCGATAATCGATGCACAACCGCAGGTCCTTGTTCTTCTTCCGGACGAAGAGAACAGGAGCACTGCATGGCGATGAGCTAGGCCGAATCCAGCCTTTCTCCAGAAGGTCGTTGAGTTGTGCCCGAAGCACACTTAACTCTTCCTCGCTCATTCGGTAGATGCAACCGCGCGGAGGTACGACCCCGTTCTCGAGGATGATCTCGTGGCGGATGGGTCGATCCGGTACTACTCCGTGCGGGCCTTCGAACACGTCGCTGTAGGCGTCGAGAAGTTCGGTGATGCGTGGATCCGAAGGTGAGTCCGT